CTTATGATTGTGGATTGATGATCAGCTCATCATAAGTTGTCTACTGCCATCCATGTTTGCTTTGATGTCTGAACTTTATTGCTCTGAGATATTTGATCTCTATTGAATGATGAATTTGTAACCAAGAACCAACCGAGAACTCATTGTATCTTCTTTGTTTGTTTCTCAGGCAGTGGGAGGATCTGCGGGGAGGACGCGTGGTATACACACACCTTTCTTTGCATGCAGGGTGGTAGGTCTGAAGTGTGGTGAGCACCTAAACTAGTTTTTAGATGTACCTCAGTCTGCAGTGTTTGTTACAGTGCTTTGCAGTGATCACGGTGTGCACGTGGGGAGTGAGATTGGGTTTTGCAATAGCATCTCCCCGCGGTGAGCACCCTGTCTGATACCTTTTTATATATCTTGTAACCAGTTGGTTCAGTTGCATTTTAGTTTTAAATGTTTGTTAATAGTACAATATTAAATGCTTGGTCTTAACCTGATTATTGTCCTTTTCTTTTATCTCCTTTTAATAATAAATACTGAGTTTTTGACTTGAATGCACGTCTCCGGCTCTCCTTGTACCTGTAAAATAATTTGATTGTGGGTTCAGGCAGAGACCCTCACACTGGGGTTGGTCACAAACGAAAAGAAAACTTACCTCTCTGAAGCTTCAATCACAGTTCTGAACAGGAGAAAAAAGGAGGAAAAAAGGAACTAAATGAACTTGCTCAGATATTGACTGGGATAAGCACCAAACAACAGAAGGATTCCTCCTCCACGTGTGATACAAACATTTCAGCGTCGAACTGAGTTACCTGTGAGTCAAGACATTATTGTCTACATGGACAAAAACCTAATAACTATGATGCATGCTTATGCACGTGAACGCCTGGACGACCAACTCAAGGTAGTAGATAGCCTCATTGATAAGGAAGAGGAACCGACTCGGGAACACTTACTTGAAGCCCCTTCAGGGCCAAAATCAAAGAGGAAAAAAAAGAAACTGGCGAGCGATGAGCCAGAGGACTGTGAAATGGTGCCACTGAGCATTCTGGAGAGAATAGAGAAGAGACTCCAATCACTGGAGGATACAGTAAAAGAAAAGACAAAAACAACGAAGAGAAAAACATCTGTCATGGCCGGACAGATGAACACCCTACAGGCAGAAGCCGCAGCTCTGGGGAAAACGAACACGGAGCTCTGTGACAAATACAACAACATGGATGCTTACTCGAGACGATGGAACCTACGAGTTGCAGGGATACTGAAGAAGACAGGGGAGGACATTAAGAAAACCATTATTGACCTGTTTGGCCAAATCTCCCCTGATATTGGGAACCAGCTCGCTCTCACGGTGGATATCGTGCACAGAGTGGGTCCACGCTCTGGACACGAGTGCTCCAGCCGCCACGTCTTCATACGCTTTCTGTCAAGATCCCACAAGGATAAGATCTGGAGAGATGCCAGAACAGCAGACTTCCTTAAGGAAAGAAGAATAAAGATCATGGAGGACCTGATGCAAGAAGCCAAGGAGTCCAGGAATCAGCTGTGGCCTCAGGTAGAGAGGGCAAGGAAAGAACGGAAGAAAGCCGGCTTTAGAGGAGCGCACACCAATATCGATGGTAAAAGAATCACAGCCAAGGACATGTAAGATGCCTTCTTTTTGTAGTCCTCTTCTTTTTTTCCTCTCCTCAGTAATGCTACAGCCGCTGGCTGGTAGTGCATCCTGATTTGGGGATTTCTTTTCTCCCCCTTGTTCTCTCTCTGAAACATTTCTAATTGGCTAGCTACCCACAGCTTTTGTTTTTTGATATGTTTTTTTTGTTATCTTTATTCTCTTGAGAGAGCGGTAACACCATTTTTTCAACTTTTTTTTGTGCTCTCTTTGGAACATTTTTAATAGATTAGCTTGCCTGCCAAAAACATTGCTTTGACTGGTATTTTGGTCTTTGTTTGTATGTTTCCTCCGACAAAAATATAGAGAGGTGAATTTTAAGTTTAAATACGGTCCGATCTGCTGCAATAGCCAGCCACAGTTGCATCCGCTCCCAACCCAGAGAGGTTACTGAGTAGGTGCAATTACTGTTTATTCATTATTTTTTTCCTTTCCCTTTCTTTTCTTATTTGTCAATTGATGTCACTTTGTATTCTTTCTGTCAGTGCCAGGGGTATCAAAAATCAATTGAAGAGTAAATGTCTTTTTTTTATATTGCCAGAATAAAGGGGCAGAATTTTATTTTGTTCAAGAAGCCCATGCTGTACAAACAGATATGACATATTGGAGGAGTCAGTGGGGTAAGGATATATAGTTGTCTTATGGTAGCAATAGGTCAGCAGGGGCAGCGATTCTGCTTGGGAAAATTTACAGGCCATGTAATTTATGATTTTGCAGATACGAATGGGAGATGGATAATTCTCTTAACAGAACTTGATCACTTTCAATTCATTCTTGTAAATACATATGCTTTCAATAACAAGCAATTGAATATAATGTTATTCTCAACACTGGAAAACAAGATCGCTCAACTGTTATCAGCTTTTCCCTCAGCTAACGTTCTGGGGTAGGGATTTTAACACAGTGATGGATGAAAGCATGGATAGATGGCCTCCCAGAGAGAAACAAATACATGAATTAGAAAATGTTTGTGACAGGATAAGTTTGATTGACATCTGGAGACACAGGAACTTAGATAAAAAAGCATATACATGGAGCAATAAAGATGGATCTCCTTGATCACGAATAGATTTCTGGTTAATCTCATCACATATTGAAAACAAGTGGATTTGGTTACAACAGAACCAACAGTTCTTACAGATCACAGAAGAGTAACAGTTAGGATTAATATGGGAATAAGGAATCATAACTCCAACAGTGAATACTGGAAACTAAATCAAACCCTTCTACATGGCAAAGACTTTAATTTTTTTATTTTTTTTTTTAAAGCCCAAGACGTCACAGACAAACATTGGAGACAGGCAAAGATTTTTAACAATGTTGGACCATGCTGGGAGCTCATGAGGTTTGAAATCAGGAACCTGGCTATATTAGAAATTAAAAAGCTCTGGAAAAGGAATACAGAAGAAGAATTTCAAATTGTTGGAAAAATGATGAATTTATCAGGTCGAGTAAATGTGTCAGAGGAAGAGGTGATAGAACCGACAAGTGCACAAGCAGAACTTGATAAAGCATATGAAGATAAGGCCAGAGGTGCTTTTGTCAGATCCCGAAGAAAGTGGCTAGAACAAGGTGAGAAATGCACAAAATACTTTTTTAATTTCCATCCATCCATTTTCTATACACCGCTTAATCCTCATTAGGGTCGCGGGGGGCAAAGGCAGGTTCACCTGGACAGGTAACCAGTCTATCACAGGGCTACACTTAGAGACAGACAACCAAGCACACTCACATTCACACCTACGGACAANGGCAGCTGGTAGAGCCTGGGCCTGGGGGCAGCTGCTCTCTGCTCGTGCTCTCTGCTGCCACAGAGGAGAGATGTGTGTAAAAATGCCTGTAAATATCTGTGAATGTACAGTGCAGTGTTTCCTGTACATTCATTTAGGAGTGGCTGGCGTCATTCCTAAATCCTAACCGCCGCTCCTCCAAATTTCTTTTTTTTTTTTCTTTTTTTGTCGCAAATACACCACCGCCGCATGTCTCCACCTTCACAGCAGAGTCCTGCACTGGGTCGGGTACTCGTGAGACGTACTAAGGTAAACTACAGATAACTATCTTGCTCAGTCTCTACTCATTGGGAAATCAATACGCTGTTAATTACTCATGAGAGCACAACCTTGAAAGTGACGTCATGTCCAGCACCAGGCTCCAGGTCAGAGAGTCAGATGAGGGGACTGATGACATTTCACAAGTTCGCAAGAACGCAAGTACGGACAAGTACGAGGAGAGTCAGAGGAGGGTTGACATCATGAC